TAGACGGCAAGACGTAGTGACTGATAGCCAATAGGCGCATTTGCCGATTGACAACGTAGTAAAGAAAAAAGGAATAAACAAATGTATAAGCGCGTAAATTCATGAAAATCATGACACATAAGTCGAAGGCGATGCGATGCACGGAACTCATTTAACAAACAGTGGGAATACGTCCAAGGTCATGCTGATCTCGTGGCTGCTTCAGACTTCGGATTTTAACAGTTACGATATACCTGCGGATTTGGCATCGTTGGCAAGGTTTAAAATGCCCAAGTCGCTGAGGATGGACAATTCGAAGTGCTCTCATAAATTAAAGGGCTTCGAAGTAACTGCCACTTAACACACACCTATGTGTAAAATAACACCTTAATTCATACTCTCATGTCACACGGTCTCGCCAAAATGATGCAGTTAATAGTAACATCCCATCTTGCTTTATTGCAAATCAATCCATATTTATAAGCTTGCTAACGGGTAGGTGGCCAGTGTTGCGTGTAAAAAAGAGTCGCCGTGCACCGCGCTGTACTGCCTCCATTTGTGCAAATGATCTAGTCTACCCTACCTCATCAGCCTATTTATTCAGAAGCAGGGTTTTACCTTTTATGGGAGAACAGAGTACAGGAAAAGTCTTACAGTCAGCCACTAATAATTGACAGACTAACCACAGACTGACTACAGACCGACCGCACCGGAAGCATGGAGAAATCTGATGCATAAGGAGAAGGCATTAATGCGTCGGTACATGGAGGCATGGGTAGAGGCGCAGCTAGATTATGTTCAGCAGCGCGTAGAACCGAAGGATCAAGCTTTCGTAGAACCAATTGCCAAAATTTGTAAACAGAACCCATAGCAACAAAGGCGCTTGTATATCGTCACTATGATTTTGATGCAATGAGAAAGATATGAGGGGCTGAACTTAGTAAGGAAATAATACAGTATGCATTAATCAGAGGCAAAATATTGTTGCAGCATAGAATGGTGAGGTTGTGCATTGTTGGAGGTGAAGGAAATGAAGCTTGACTGGTAAGTTAGAAGTATCGGATAGCGAGCGCTCCAAGTGCACGAGAAAGTGGACAGACGCTTAAATGCCCCTAAGCACC